GAGCAGCAACAGGCCAAGTTATATAACAAATTTCCTATTTGTATATATTGTTCTAAACAAAAAGCATGTGAAGGAATTTCGAAAAGTGTGTTATTTTAATTTGTTTATCTTCGAATGTCAAGTGTGCTTAATTATGCAAATTTAAAAGGAATCAAATGAAACACATTGCACATTTATTTCAATTACCTGATTTAGCAAAAAAAAAAAAATGAATGAACATAATTCTTGGCAATGGTTTAATTAAATACTTTCGTTTTTGTTTTTCGGCAATTTGCATTGAATGTGGCACAAAAATGTACGAATGTTTTAAAATTGCTTTGCTTATAAAATTTGCATATTTAATATACTTTCGATTTCAGCTGTCTTGCTTTCTTTGCGTTCGAATTCTTAATTGATTTACGGTTTGCGATTATTAACTGACAATATCCCCAACGACTTGACTGTACAGTGGGAATCGGCTAAGTGCGTTCCAGGAGTGTGAGCAGTTCAATCGCCTTTCCTCACTCTCGTTTGTGGGATGGAGATTGCATTCGTTTTTGCACATGCGCATTTCGAAGTAATAGCAACAGCAACAGAAACAAAAGAATGCACAATATTTTCAAGGTTAAAGTGCAACGAAACCGCAACACAATACCTAACCAGCCAAAAGGGGGTGGTTTAAGAGTGGGTGGTGTGGGGGTGTGCTCTGTACACAGAATCATCAGCATAAAAATAACTGGCATACCTTTTGTTCAGTGTCCTTGAAATGCTGATATTAATTTCACGACACTCTGATTAGATAATCAACTGCCCACACCCACTGTGCCCACCACCCCCTTTCTTGCTTTTCCTTGTTTTTTCTCGCAATGCGGATGGGTGAGACGAATGCGGCAATTTTTGTTGTTTTCGCATTCAGTTCGCATGCACATTCTCGACTTGTGACTCAAGGTTATGATGATGATGATGCTCTGGCTGAACGCCCCTTCCTCCCACCCCTCGCCCACTACCGCTACCCTTTAACGCTGAAAAGCTCACACAAATTATTATTACACAGGCAGTGAGAGCGAGCAGGAGAGAGAGAGACATAGAATAAACAAATAGCTCGCAATTTTATTTTATCAGCTGCCCCGCCGTCGTTTCGTTTTTCGCTTTTCGTTTCGTTTTGCATGCACATAAAACTAAATGCAAACTCCCGCCAGTTCCCTCCCCATTTTCCACCCCTTACATTTTTACATTTCCGGGTTGTGCCCCCCGCCCCACCCCATTGCACACCCTGTATTTGGGCACTGACTGACTGCAAATCATCTCGGCCAACAATGAAAAATATGGATTAACTGCGAGTAATATGTAAGTGCAAAGCGAGTCTCACTCTAAAATCGCTGTATCCGACTCGAAAGTGTAGCGAATTCGATGTCATAATAGATCAGGCCTTGGGCAAAAAGACCTAAGAATGTGTAAACAGAAATGTACAATTCCTGGTTCCGCCTTCGATAGGTATTATGGCTCAGATTATTAGAAATAGCCAGAAACATTGTCAAGGAATTCATTTCAGACTAGAGTGAGCACAGAACATAATAGATTATTTTTAATGATTGCTATAAATTTGGGAAAATGATTGGCGCATGTAGTAATGCTAATTACGACGAACTCTATAAAAATTCAAATAAGATCCTGTGATTACTTAACAATCTTGTGAAGCTGAGTTATAGGTTATACAATCCCTTTGTGAATTCAGTAGCCTATAGTTTTGAAGCACTTCCGTGGCTTGCATATGGCTAAATAACAAATATTTACATTACACTTGAAAAAAAACATCGTTAAATTTGTTTATTCATTGAAAGTACTTAGCGTCGCCGATTTCCTACTTAGATAGAGTGAGATGGCGAACAGTTTATGACTGCGCCGCTTCAGCAGAGTGCAGTTATCAGCTGAACGTGCACACACATACAGCTCCATATAGAAGTGCATACAAGTGCATCTACATTTATGCACACATATACATATATATGTGTAGGTAGCGCGCTAATGCGGTTAGTACAGTTCACTTTGTCCTTGAGCGAGCGATTCCAAGCGGCATGAGACCCCATTTGGGGCTCTGTTCTGTTCAGTTCTGTTTGGTTCGGTTAGAATCGCTTCCCGCAGTGCAATTTGATAATGATCGATGCATGGCGAGCGCATAGGAGCTTCGCGGAAGTTTTTGTTCACTGGCGGCGGCATAGGCGGCATACGCGGCATACACGGCGTATGCGCAATGTGCTCTTATCACGGGTCGCCAGCGTTCAAGTTGAATGTTGAATGCTTCTGATCAATTGCCTCTTGCTATGCTCCATTCTCATTTTTTGTTTTATTGTGTAGATTTGTATGACTATGCCTTGGTCTGTGTACTTTATTTATTTTTAATTTCGCTCGCGTCGAGTGTGTGTCCTTCAAATGCAATTGTGCGATGATTAGAAACGCAAAGCGCCAACCGATTTTTACTTTTTGTTTCTAATGTCTGTATGTGCAGCTGTTTATTTTCATTTTCACAGCGATAGCGAAAAGCTTTTTTGGCGCGCTATCTGCAGTTTCACGCTCACGAATGCAGTTTGTTGATTTAACTAGAATATTGTTGATTTTTCTATAGCAATGCATGCATGCATTCAACTTCCTAGTGTGTCGAACGCATCTGTAAATTGCGCAAAGGGTTGCCGCCATCCCCCCGCCCTAAAAATCGAAAGTATCTCGTGAAACCCACTTAGCTCGATGCTTCCTCATTTCGTCTGCATATTTTTGGTTGACGGCGCCAGCTGGCTAAAACCCACACACAAAAGAGGAGAGACATAGACAAGGGATGGGAAAATCACGAGCAGCCAGAAATCACTTTCTGCAGATCGTTTTCGCACATTTCCGCACTCGCAGAACAGAATCAAAATGCAATTCGCAAGTGCAAGTGCAAGTGCATTAGGCATCATTCAGCACACACAAGCCGACACACCGATATACCGACATTCAGATAGATTCACATAGTCGGTAGTGTTGCAATTTTGCATCCGTGTCGCATTTGATCGCCGCGGCTCGGGAAAATCGTATTTCGTATTTCGCATTCGCATTTCGCATTCTACGTGCGTGCAGTTCGACGAGCGGACGGAATAGCTCCTTTTGGCCACTCGAATGGTTTACCGGGGGAGTGGAACATAGAACCATATTTATTGTCCATACTCGTATATCTCTAACGATTGGGTGAGTCCACAACCACAACCACAACCATCCCCCCACGAACGGCCTCCAAAGTGAACTTCCTGGTTATGGGATTGCACTCAACTTGATTGGGGGCGCGATATCATTTTGTATTTATAGTTGAGCAACTTGGGGAGGCGATAAGAAGAGTTCCTGGTGTCTTCTGCTGCAAATAGCTTAGGTTTCTGTTGAGGGAAATTCTTATTTAAGCTAATCTGCTTGCGGATGTTTGCTGCTAAATCGATGTTATTTATTCAAGTCGTGGCCTAACCATGAATATCCATAAAAACTCTCCCTGTGTTTATGTAATCAAAATGAAGTGATCACGCAATTACTTGTTTCCCAACGAATTGTTGAAGAGACCCTCAAGGCGAAACCCATACAGGTTTCCCATTTCTAGGAGGGGACTAAATGGCCAGCCTTGCACAATAAGTTCTTGATTGCGCAGCTGAAAATGTCCGAAAAGGCAAAAAAAAAAAAAACAAAAAAAATATAGGGAAACTATCATTTTGAATAATCGACTAGCAACCACCAATAAACCACCGCTGCAACCACTAGCCGCACCACCGAGCCACCAAACCACCGAACGAGAAGCTTTTCGCCAGTGGAAAGCGCTTTCACAACCCTCTCTAGCGGCGAACTTTCTGAGCGAGAATTTGAGAATCTTGGACGGGATGCGTTCGTGTGGCAGTGCAATGGGCATTGGTGCAATGCCGGTTGCTGTGTGTGTGTGCGTGCGCCTTTCTATGTATGGGGGAATTGCAATTTTGAGCTTTTTTGGGGTCTACGCCGGTTGGATGTGGGTCAGTAGTAGGAACTCTCGGCTGGCGGCGTCAACGTTTCCCTAGCTCTTCTTCACAAAAATACACATTGCAACCGAAAGAAAAAGAAAAAAAAAAAAAACAAATCTAATAAACATTTCTACTTCAATCTTTGTTCGGATTTTCGTTGTCGCTTGCCGCAGATGCGTTTTAATTCGATTTCCGCCTGGCGAATTTCGACGGCAAACTTGAATGTCGCAGTGCAAAAAGTAGAATGCTGACTGAGCAGCAGGAGTTCTGTAGTCGTAGTTTGTCAAGCCAAGCCGGACGGCCACAGCCGGAAAATTATTCCGGGGCGGTCGGCAGGCCACACGGCGTATGCGTAACGAGAGAACGAAACGGAAAGTGATGCGTAATTTGCGGGCCCAGCCAACTAAAATTAAAACAAAAGGCAAAATATCGGAATTAGTGCAAGGCGAATATCGGAATAAAACCCGTAATCAATTAGCAGCTCTATAATAATTAATAGCCAAGCAGAAAGGAAACGGGTATTCTTTTAAATCAAATTGAAAGCAATGTAAGGGAAAACCCAGTGAATGCAAAACGAGAGTACAAAGCGCAGCAAACGGCAGCCAAATGAAGAAGAATAATTCAAGTGAGTTGTTTTCGAGGAATTTTCATTTCATTTTCACAACCGGTGATGCGGTGGGTGGGCGTTGGGTGGCCATGCCCCTGAACGTGAACGTGTAACCTCCACTAAGGCCGTAATCTTGAACTGCACCACCAACCCAAGAGCCACCCACCCCCTGGCTTTCTCGATGACCCCCTGCACTCGCTACTCGTCGCCGCTCTGCAGTTAGCTTTTTGCACTGACGATAACACGAATGCAACACTGTGAAAATGCTGAGGAGCTTTTCCAGGGTGAGGGTGGGGAGTGCGGGCCTCAGGTGTAGTGGGTGGGCAGGGTGAGGAGGCGCCTCTATTTATAGCGCCAAATTATGACTATTTTTAAAGCGCATTTTGCCATCCTTTGTGCCATTCCAGATCAAGTAAAACTTCAACCACAAACAACTAGCAGAATAAGCAGCAACCACTGAACCCCCTATATATAAAACCAGCACATATATACACAGTGTTTCGCTGAGCAACAATCTAGCTATAGTCGCCATGCATGGACATCACAACCACAACCATCTGCCGCAGCAGCAGCAGGCACAAAATCCGCAGGAGCAGCAGGCGGGTGCCATCATGAAGGCTGCCAACCAGCCCCTCCATCCCGCCCACAGCCATCCGCTCAACCACCCACATCCGCACCAGCATGCCCAGCCACATCCGCATCCACATCCGCATCCGCATCCGCATCACAAGCTGTCGGCGCGAAGGGCGCGCAGTCGCAGCCGAAGTCGCAGTCCGACGCCGGATGGCAATCAGGACTACGATGTGACCAGGATGCGGGAGGAGGACTTCGAGCGGCTGGCCGTCTACCTGGTGCCGGATGTCCAGGCGGAGCGGGGACTGCCGAATCGGGCGGACAAGACGCTGCCGCGCAGCCTGACACTCAAGTCATCCATGGTCTACTCAACGCCAAATGTTAAGGTAAGGATCTAACAAAATTAAAAAAAATATTTATATATATTGAAAAGCCCTAAGGGCTCAAAAGAATTTACAGTAGACTGTGAAACTAATCCTTTTATTATTTATTTTTGCTACAGACTGAAGGAGTTTGGAGCAGCGGGGTCATCCCACGTGGCACTCGCTTCGGCCCATTCGAAGGCATTCCAACCTCTAATTATCCCAATGATAAGAATAAGGCGCGCTATTTCTGGCGGGTAAGCATCCTCAACTCTTTGGAAAATATTAAATGAAGGGCTAAGCATTTGTTGTGGGCTTTCAATTCATTTGCATCTTCTGTTTGCCTCTATTTTTGGTCACAACTCCTTCGTGCAAATGGAGGTTTGGGTGTTGCCTTAAATGAATCATTAAAAAAATCACCTAAAACATGCTTCCCCCATCCAATCATCCAGCCGAAAAGAAAATCGATATATGCAACTAACCAACTCGTTTCTCTTTAATTTTTATTTCATGTGATCTAATCTTAAACCAACCCACAATTACCCAACCAAAATGAACACAAATATGTATAATCAAAAACAAAAAAAAAACCGAACATAAATTCAAAATTATACCTTTGCATTTTGGAACGAATTCGATTTGATTGTGGTTAATCAGGTGCAGGGAACACGCCACATAACCTACGGGAATATTAAGGTACCACTCACGATTTATGCTTTCTTTGATTTCTATTTGTTGTCTTTTTAACACCCAGAACTATACACCTGCTTTCCCAGCTAATCCCTCAATCAGCACAAGCCTCTTTCTAACTAACCGTGCACTGCTCTAAAAATCTATACTTGTTGTGTATTTTGAAAAATTTATGAATATAAAGGATTATTTTATCAAATACCTTTGCATTTGAAAAATTTTTCTAAAACACATCCCTCAATCTATTTTCCTTGTAGAATGAGCTATGTTTTTACTTCCATGTTGTGCGTCTTGTGTCCTTAAGCTTTCTTTAGTTTTCTCCAGAATTTTTCTAATTGTCCCCATTTCCCGCCGCTCTTCTTTCTCCTGTAGATCTTCAAGGACGATGACTACTATTACTTGGATGGTTCAGATCGCTCGCAGTCCAATTGGATGCGCTATGTGGCCTCCGCCTATAGTTTGTCCGTAATGAATCTGGTGGCGTGCCAGCACCAGGAGAACATCTACTTCTACACCACCCGCGACATTCTGCCCAACGAGGAGCTGATGGTGTGGTACTGCAAGGACTTCGCCAGTCGCCTGGGCTACGATGTGGATCCCGAGACGACGATCTTCGGGGCCTGCAAGCAGGCGGTGGAGGCGGAGGAGGAGGCGGACGAGGAGGAGGATGAGGCGGAGGGCGAGGACGGAAAGCCGCGATACTCGATGCCAGCTCCGGAAATTCCACCCGATGTGGCCGTTAGTCACATAACCTACGTCATGGGCCTCCATCTGCCTGTGGGAGCGGGAAGTGGTCCGGCGAATGGATCGGTTGCGGGTTCCGTTTCCGGTGCCACGCCTCCGCCCCCGACTGCCACGCCATGCTGCCGCCGCTCCAGTCCACCCGCCCACGTCAGCACCACCAGCTCCACCTGCAACTCCCACCACCCGCACATCCAGCATGGTCGCCATGCCTCCGTGATCATTGGCCAGGATCGATCGCCCTTGGCCAGCAGCGACAAGGACACGGCGGGCTCTCCTCTCTCCGGTCTGGACCATCAGATGACCCCGCAGGATGGCAGCGTGAGGTCTGTGAGATCGGACGAGGGCTACCACAGCAACGAGTGCCACGAGGATGGACTCACGCCACCCGAGGACTCCAGCGACAGCGAGAGTGAGCATAACTACGTGCTGGACTGCTCGAAGAAGGCGATTGCTCCCAAAGAGACAGTGATTGCCCAGGCCCAAAAGCCCAGCAGTTCTCCGCCGGCAGTGGTTATGGCTAACACGACTACCAACTCGATGAATAGCCACAGTTCACCCACTGCGACGCCCATTTGCGAAACGGACAAGAACGAGTACAGAAAGTTCAAGGTGAAGATGCCACTGAAGTACGAGTTCAAGAACAAGAGCTGCGTGAAACAGGAGCCAAGTCTCAAGGAAGTGGACCAGGAGATGTCCTTGCCGCAGGAGGAGGAGGAGGATCAGGTGATGCATCCGGAACCCGATTCCATATGCCCATCGACCACCACCCATCTGGGCGACGAGCACATGCTGATGATGGAGCGGGAACGGGAGAGGGAGCGCGAAAGGATTCTGGAGAGGGAACCATCCAACCAGCAGCCCGCCTCCTCCACGGTCATCGTTCTGGAGCACAACTCCGGCGGTCAAGCCCGCACCATTGTCCCACTGAGTAAGCCCTACTACGAACCAGATCCTCCGGGCGAACGCTATATGCGCTTCGGCCAGCCCTCTTCCAGCATCCTGGAGACCATCCTCACCAGCCAGCATCGCTTGGAGGCGGCCGCTGCTGCGGCAAACGCCTGCCGACAGGCCAATGCCGCTACACCACCGCCCACTTCACCCACGGAGATGGCCTACAGCTACAAGAAATCGCAGCGATACGGCAATGCCGTGAGTCCGGACAGTAGTTCCAATCTGGGACAGAATCCCGAGCAGCTCTCCTCGTCGGCAGTGGCGGTCGGTGAACAGGAAATGACCAGGGCCACGTTGATCAAGGGAGAGTGCTCGCCACCGCCGCCTAGCCATCATCATCACAATGTGATCTTCTCGCCCTCGAGACATGCCGCTTATCTGGGAGCCGGCGAGGCGGGTGGCCACTCGCCGAGTCCGGGCTATCCTGGCTATCCGCACTATGGAGCAGCAGCCACCTCGACCTTTCATTCACCGCCGCACAGTTCCCATTCCCCGTTCGATCGCCAGTCGAATGCCTCCAGTGGTGCGGGTTCGGCCACCAATTTGCATTTATTGCAAACCAGCACCCAGATGCTCAACCATCCGCTGATGCAGCCCCTCACTCCCCTGCAGCGTTTGTCCCCGCTGAGGATTTCCCCACCCAGCAGCCTGAGTCCCGATGGTAACTCGTGTCCCCGCAGTGGCAGCCCGCTGAGTCCCAACTCCCTGGCCTCCAGAGGCTACCGATCGTTGCCCTATCCGCTCAAGAAGAAGGATGGCAAGATGCACTACGAGTGCAATGTGTGCTGCAAGACCTTTGGCCAGTTGAGCAACCTCAAAGTGCACCTGAGAACCCATTCCGGCGAAAGGCCCTTCAAGTGCAATGTGTGCACGAAGAGCTTCACCCAGTTGGCGCACCTGCAGAAGCATCATCTGGTGCACACGGGCGAGAAACCGCACCAGTGCGACATCTGCAAGAAGCGTTTCTCGAGCACCTCCAACCTGAAGACCCATTTGAGGCTGCACAGTGGTCAGAAACCATATGCCTGTGATCTCTGTCCGCAGAAGTTCACACAGTTTGTGCATTTGAAGTTGCACAAGAGGCTGCACACGAATGACAGACCCTATGTGTGCCAGGGTTGCGACAAGAAGTACATCAGTGCATCCGGCCTAAGGACCCACTGGAAGACCACCAGCTGCAAGCCCAACAATCTGGAGGAGGAGCTGGCCATGGCAGCAGCGGCTACGTCCGAGTGTTTGGGTAGGTTTCAATGGCGCCTACCGAGCTTTAGGACACCGAACTAACAATCACATTTTTCAATATTCAGATAAAGACCATCCCGAACCGGACTCCCGAGAAGCGTACGAGCAGCTGACGCAGCACATGCATCCTGCAGTGCATCCGGGACTGAGGCACCTCTCGAGTGGGGGTCAGTCGCCACCACGCCTGATACCCCTGGGCAATCACATGGCGCCGCAGCAGCAGTCGCATCAGCAGCAGCAGCAGCAACAGCATCAGCAGCAGGGAGTGCCACCGCCCCACTTGCTGATGACGCAACATGCAGTGGGTCCGGCACCCATGCTGCTGACCACCGCCAGCCAGTTGCCACCACCGCCGCCGCATCATCAGCAGAGCTCGCCCAGCCGCCTGCTGCAACATGGCCACCCACATCCGTTGCAGATGCAACAGCAGCAGCAGCAACAGCAGCAGCACTCGCCCAAGGGACTCAAATCCCTGCCGGAACCGGGGGTATATCTGCATGGGCAGCATGTGCAGGCGCAGGAGAGCAGACCATCGGTCATTGAGTCCTCCAATCAGCCCATGATCATCGAATGCACGTAGAAGGTGCATGGTGCATGGGTACAGGGCACAATGGACATGGAGCAGCTGCTGACCAGACCAGGAAGTGATGGAATCCAAGTGCAATAAAATTAAATAGAGTTAAGCGACAGACAGGCAGACAGACAGACGATACTATCCCTTTGAAAGCAAAAAGGATAAGAACAACAAAAAACGCAGCACAAGTAAACGTAACGGTATTATTATATAGTTGTAAATAGTTAGAGATTCCCTCGTAAATTTTTGATCCTCCTCAAACCCTGAAATTGAAATTGAAAACTCATTTCGCGCTATGAAAACTAGATCTCACCAATTGGCAGTCCCATGAATACTTCTTCTCATCATTATCAGCATGGCAGGAGAGCACTAAAGGCATATTATTTTTGATAAATATTTTATATATATACACCGAACATATAAATGGAAGTGAACAAAATTGGTTAACAGGAAGCGATTGTGAATGGGAAAATAAATGGAGCCGGCAGCAGATGAGAATTTTGCGGAAAACTGAGAACGAGAGAAAGAAAATGCATTTAGACTTGACTTTCGATGATTTTCCAATTCTGATTTGTTGTCTCACCCGCGCTGTTTGTTTGTTTGTTTGCTTGTTTGTTTGTTGAGGCGCACACCTTTAGATGTAGATTACATATAAAAGAGTTAAAGGATAAATAAGGATACATTTAAACATACAATACATAGATTCAAGTTGCCTTATTTGAATTTCGTTAGCACTGAGATCCGCGGAAAGAACAACACAGTAACCGAAAACATTTCGATCATCTCTGTTTCGTAAGAACAGATCTGCAAAGCTTATATACGTATTTTATATATGAATATATCATTATTATACATACGAATATATAAATATATATTTATATGTATTTTATTATATATACACAACCGGAAATGCAGCAACAAACAAATCATAGCAAAACTGTAAATAGAAGAAATCCTTATTTCGGCATCTGTTGAACTAGTATCGCCTAGCTATATAATTACGTAGACCTCTAGGGATTACCATTACCATTATCATTATTATGATTACTATGATTATTACGAAAAAAAAGATATAAAAAGTAAGCAACAAACAAAAGAAAAAACTTAAAGAAAACTTAGCTGAAAAATCGGTGCTTTTGACTGTTTCCATTTGTCCACGTTTACATTTACGATTGTATTTGTACTTCGAAACATATGAATTATATTGTAAACCACACTAAATATATATAAAATATATACAGGTTAGTATAACACTCTAGGATATTTCCCCACAAACTACTTTGCGCCTTAAACATTCAACCTTCCTCCAGCTCCTTTAACTCCTTTAACTCCTTTAACTCCTTTAGCTCCTTTCACCACAAACAAAAAACGGAATCCAAAAAAATTGCTCGTATTGTACTTTACCAAAATTATGCTCTCAATTAGTCTTCGTTTTCGTCTGAATATTATATATGAAATCTTTAGCTAAACATAAGCTTATAATCTTAATGAGGCTGACTAGCTTTAAGTATCCACATAACTCTATTAAGCGCATATTAATTAAACTAGACACTAAGGTCTGTATATTAAAGGCTGAGTCCAGAGCTCGGCTTCGATCTGTAAGACACAACACCAATTCGTAATGATTAAGTATTTGTCTTGTAAAGTACGAGATACGGGGTGGGGAGTTCGGGGAAATTCTATGGAATTCCAATAATTGAGACTAAGACTATGCAAAAGTTTTTGTATTTTTGTATTTGATACAAAGCAAGCAGGAGTTAGGAATGGAGTGACGATTAGATGTTTTAGCCACGTAAGATCTATTTTAAGCTAGCCCTAAGATTTCTAAGCATATGCAATATTTATACGCATAATATTTCTAAAAAAAAGCAAAACGCAGAAAAGATGAGACAAGCCTACATACATGGAAAATATAAAAGAAGATAATCAAAATTATACAAAAAACACAAAATTGATTTTTTATTTATCGTTTGGTTTTAAACTCACATTTGTTGGTTGTGCATTCATCTTATTACTATTTTATTTTGTGCAATAGTTCGCTAATTTATGTTTTTGTTTCTTTTCGACATCATTTAATCGACTTGAAACTCTCTTTAGGCAGTTACAGAAATCTACTAAAATAAGCGACATACATAATACTTTCCTATTTGTGAGACTGAATGAATTACTATATATACAATACTCGTAACTCATAGAAAAGATATCCAAGCTCCATCAGCAGCCCCTTCTTATAGAGGGGCCTGCAGTGGACTCCACGGAACCCCAGACATTTCGATATATATTTTACCGAACCTTTTGTTTGAGCAAGCATTGTAATATATTACGATACGAATATGGATACTTCTAGGCATATAGATATATATTTATACAAAGCACACTTACATACGTAGTCGTAGAGAGCTATAGCTATAGCTATTTATACATACGAACAACCAATGGCCTATGGTTAAAGCGCCCAACTTTGTACAGTAATTGAAATCTGTTTCAGGATTCAAGGAACGTGACGACACAACGTAAATTTAAATGGAGAATAAATGACTGCTTCTTAGTGTTATAAGTGACTCTGATTTAGGTCGAACACACATAAACACACATTCACTCACTCACCCACACACACAAGAACACACATACACACAAATGATTCAAGGATCAATTCTAGAAATCAAATCCAAATATATATTCCATTATATATTCAATAAGTCTATCGTATACCTTTATTGCAATCAATATTTCAAATGTATGAATCTATATAATTACAATTATCTATAGTTCAGCCCTATATAGATCATGTAGAGCCTTTGTTATACGTATGTCCTATGAAATTGTTTCCCCACTCTCTCTCATATACACAAAATGTACAAAATTGGTTCTCATAAATAATTAAAAATTAGAAAAAGAAACAACAAAAACGCAGCGAATTTCATTTGCAATCTATGCGAAGCCCAATTAAAAAATGCAATTAAATGTAATCATTTTAATATTCGAGATGGAGATTGAGTTTCTGTTTGAACCCTCTTGAAAAATAAATGTTGATTTATACGAGCCTCAAGGTATATACACGCTTATATATCACTCACCTCTTATACCACAATAAACGAAATAATTGACTATATGCATATTTATACGCCAATTACATGCGAGACATCTTAAACGAAAGCATTGAAAACCAAACCAAAATCGAGCAGAAAACAAGAATTATCTAATTATTTGAATGCAACTTAAATTCCTATTAATTATATATGAAATATCTCTATAAAATATCTCTAAAGAATCACAATTAATAACAGTACGAAAAGAATGAATAAATACAAAAATATTTCATACTAAAAGCAATTGATGACTGAGTTAGGCACAAAAAACTTGGCATACTTTTGGGGGATTTCACTCATAGGGCAGTTTCTTATCACTTTCTTTAACCCTAGCAGGATAATCATAGATTGCACGATTTAACTATTTTAGATGTAGAGAATTCCATTATTTTTTAGTTTATAAATCATACTGGAATGCAACTACATTGTACAAAATTTGATTAAATTCAGGCAGCTTATCGCGACTAGAGCTCTTTGACGGTCTGTCACTGCAAATGGAAACATCAATCACATGTCAATCTACAGTGAAAGTAGGGCACTTCAATGCTTACTCTTACATGTTAACCCCCCTGGACATGCAAATTGTGTGCGTTTTACGCATAAAAGGATGGCAACAAAAAACGTATCCTGATTATCGAGGGGAAAACGCGGAGGGATACGAGGTGCCATATCGGGTCAAACGCGTGCTGTGCGGAAATGCCACATGGATGGCTAAATGGAGCGAATGCATCCCATCGTCCTATTTTACTGCACTCCAACGTGCAAACCACCCTCCGCGCTCTTTCATCCTCGATTTTGCATAGAATTCCGGGCTGGATTTTCCTCATTTTCATGTCAGCCTTGATTTTATGTTTGGCAACGTTTTATAGTTAAAGCCGATTATTTTCATGGCCATTGTGTCGACGCCCCCGTCCACAATGCCCCGTCTGGGTATGCCTCGAACCCAACCTCGAACCGTCGGACTGTCGGACCCTCGGACCTTCGGACAATGCCCGGCTGCACTTCCCCAATCTCGATTGCATTCTCTGTGTGCGTACCAGGACGCCTTGTTAATCCTGTTCCAATTACGCACATGTGAGTGCCTGCCGTCCCATCCCGTGCCATCGCCTGCATCCCTAATGGGCACTTTCGCTCTCGCCGCGTCCTTTGTCCCTCTGGCCGGCTTTGTCCATCGACCACTGGCCAGCGGATGGAGATTGGGACCGGCTCAGTTCGGCCAAAATATTGATTACAGACTGTGCGACGGCTGGCTCGAGCTGCATTGTTTTGGGTTCTTTAGCATTTATTTACTGTTGATAAAAAATCAATGTGACCCTTAGTGACCCCTCAGCATTAACAGCGCCCGCCCTCCTCGTTTTCTCATGGTTTTCATCCAGTTTGTCTCTCGATTGGTTCATGTTACCTTTTTATTTGCGTTGGCAAATATGCTTTGCAGCACAAAGTGCTAATTATCTCAATTTTAATGTTTCAAAATTTATTAATTTTATTTTATTATATATTATTGGTCATGCTTCTAAATATTTTCAGTAGCAGTAGTTGTAAATTTTCTAAGCTAAATGCATTTTTTTCAATATGTGTTGTCAAGAACGTTTGATGCAAATCGCTTTGAAAAAGTTATTCTCTTTAATTTGTTTTACTTATTTCTGGTAATGCTTTAAAATTTTTCCTCCAAATCCATCCGTTAAAGCCACTTTCCCAGCAAATCGATCGAGCTCTTGCCAAATTTACGAACCACAAAGTGTTCATCTGATGCCTCCCTTGTGCATTCGATCCTCGATACAGTTTCCGCCCTCGGATCCACTGTCATCAATGGCATTGGTCATAGATTCGGCACGCCAGCGTGGCACGTGTCAGAATTAATTGCTACAATCCGGAGTCGCAGGACGAACAGGGAGGAGGAAGGGGCAGGACGAGGCAGGACGAGCGTTCGCAAATATGTTGCACAATGCAGCTCGGGGGTGCACATTTGATATCTGCCAGCGAGGGGTTGAAATTGGAAATGCATCGAGGATTCACAGCTGCCTGGCACGCGACTGAAGCGAGGGTTGCAGCAAGCCAGTTGTGGTGCAGTTTTTTAGTGCAATTTTTTGGCAGTCACCAATGGGAATAGTTCGCTTTTTAGCGGCACCTTTTTTGTGGGCAGTGATCAGCCTATCAGAACACAGCAGGATTTGGGGTGATTAATATTTCATTTTATAAATTAAATCTATTTGCATTTTGAGCGAAAAATGGAGTTGCCAATATTTTTTCTTAGATAATTTACATTTTTACGCAGTTTGACCATAGTTTCGACAATTCCGTGAATGGTCCTTTTGATGACTAAGCGATTTATACAATTTATAGCTTTATTAGTTCCAAATTGAATTTAAGTTATGCTTTGAGGCTAACAAAATAATCGTCTTAGGCAAAAACGACAGTAACTCAATTGATAAAATACTCATTAAAAACATTAATTGAAACCTATTCAGTCTAGTTTGTATAACAGTTAAGCTTCTCAAGTATCCTGAAGAGCGCTGGTCTCACGCACTTCTTGAGTGCCATACAGATGCAGATACATCCGAATCCGAATCCAAAAGTGTGCTCGGCGTTTAACATAGGGTATGTGGTCTATGGCTCGACATAGATAAATTTGGCTCTCACTCTAGCGCT